TGTCCCCTCCCGATCACCCTGACGGCCATCTTCCCATCTTGTGCTCTCACAAACGCACCCAGTAAATGCTTTTAGCATTGTGTTAGCGCTCAGCGAAATCGGATTTGGATGGGGTGAGCCTGGGCATAGGCGAGAAGGGATTTATCTGTGAGGAAGCCGCTTGCCTGGGTTGCGCTCAGCCGTCCTTGACCTGGTGTGAAGCTCCCCTGCGGCGGGATGGGGCCCTGCCGGGGGTGGGCTTGGGTCCTGGTGAGTGAAGGGAGCGTGGAGGAGGGCCAGCGTCCTTCAGGACTGAGCCTTGTGAAAGGGCTCTGTGATGGGACTGCAGCTCCCGAAGAGGAGTGATGTTCGTGTACATCTTGGTAGTGGCTCACTGTCCCAACAGAGCTCCTCCATGGCCTCTCCGTGCGATAAGTCAGGCAGCAAGCCCACACAAATCCACACCTCTCTGCTCTCCCTCAAGTTTCTCTTTAAACAGTTGCTCCTGACCTTTTGGATTTAACCGAAGGCTCCTGAGCTTGATAACTCTGTCCTTCAGAAGTAAGGCTGGCAATGATGTGGAGCTGAGCACCGCTGCTGAAATCCCTGCTCCCTAACACAGCTGTAGTTCTGCGATAGCCGAGTTGCTTTTTGTTCCGCAACAGCCTGACCCGCTGCCTTGCGCAGTGGGGAAAACATCCTGGCTGGTTACGCTGCTAGGCAGCCTTGACTGCCATAATTTGAACTATGTGGCTGGACTAAAAGAGCTGGAGGGGCTGAATGCGCGTATTAATTACTGTTACATTTTTGTATTAAGTATTAAAAAAAAAAAGAGGCAGAACTTGAAGTTCATTTTCTTGCAGTGAGAAGGAGTAAACAGCAATAGCTTATCCAGTGAGGTGTTGATTTGAATTATGAATCTGAAGTACTGAAACAGATTAGCAGTTAGTGGTAATCACTGGACTAGATTAATTTTTAACATCCCAAACTTATCTACTTTTTCTTTGTAAGATAAACTTGTCATTTAGCAGCAAATTGGATCTGCAGCTGCTGGTTGCAGAATGGCGTAATGCTGCACAAACAGCTCTTTCCTGCATCCAAAATGGACACGGCCATTAGAGTTGTTCTTAAACATCCAAATGTTCTGTTTTTTGTTATTTTTATTGTTGTGAACACTTTTAAGTACTCCTTAGGGATCTGATCCTGTAGCCATGTATGTTTTAAAACACGTGGTTTTTATTCTCCAGTGTTTTGCCAGAGTCTCCGTGCACTAAAGGTATCAAGGTAGTCTCTTAAAAGTGGGAACCAATGTTAATTAAAAGTGTGAATTTGACATTTGATCTGATGCTCCCGGTGCATCTGAGAAAATAAGCAGCAGTCAGTTTTCATAAAACTGTGAGGGGTTTTCTAAAAGCTCTGAGTTTGACCAGATGTTTACAGCTGACGGCACACTTTCCTCTGCTCAGCGAAGGTTTTTATTTTCGGTTCTACCAGTTATGGGGCTGGGGGAGAGGAAAAACTTTCAACAAAGATCTTACTTATAGAGCAGCTTAACGCTTGTGATGGAAGTGATCTGTCCACAATTCCATGTCTCAAATCCTGGGTATGAAGCATGAATGGCTGATATGCTGTTCGGTTTGATTTCAACTCCTGGCACCAAAGATTTGGGCTATGTGGTGTGATTCCCAGAATGATGCCAGCGTATATGTTACATTTAAAACAGCCTGATCCTGTCAGTCTCGTGTTTTACTACTTCTTGTGGGAACATCGCTTTCCCATCCCAACCCTTTCACATAGAATTAATGTTGAGTACGGAGGAAGAAACGGTATCCTTCCCCAATCCTTGGTTTGTGAGCATATACCTGATGCTGTAATTTTACAGTTCCTGTCATATCTCCCACATTTATAACATGATTTTCTTCATTAGTGAAGCAAAGGGAAACTGAAGTTAAAATGTGTAAATGTTAAAATGCAGCACTTGGATAACAGAGGTAGTTTGGGAGCATTAGTGTCAAGTTTGTTAATATTTCTAACATTGCATCTTTTCTTGTGACTTCGCTTGGCAACAATTTTGGTAAAATTTTCTTTTTCTCAGCCTGTCTGAAACAGGTGGGTCCAAAAGCGCAGCTTCTACACCAGTTACATCTCAGATGCTTTTTGCAGAAATATTAGGGAGAAACTCTTTTCAAGAAAAAAAGCTGCCCAAGGAAAGAAAACTATGACCCAAAGCAGTGGGAATTCCGAATGTAAGGGATGCAACATTAATCTCCTGGTCGTGTGTAGAGACTCATAAACAAGATTGGAAATGTGGATGACTTCCAAGTAAAAGCACTAGCTTACAACCGCTAACAGGCTACTAATAAAGATTACTTCATCTAATCTTACTTAAAGTATATTTATAAAATATAACACTGCCAAGTTAGATCACAGTGTGGATAAGATGCATGTTGAATCAATTAATTGTATATAGGTATTCATGTTCTGTTTACAGTGAGTAACAACACTCTAGTATTTAATGCATTTTGAGTTACGCAACACAGGGACTGTTTGTTCTTGCTCTGGAAATGCAATATTTTGAAACACTTAAATCTTGTCACAGACAACTCCAAGTGACGTGGGAGGCTTGATCTAGCCTGTGACAAAGCATGGTGGGGTAGAACTCAGCCAGTACTTGCCCTCCTCTGGACAGTGCTGGGGGGGGGAGTGGCGCAAGTTGTGGAAGTAGCCCAGGGCAGGATACAAACAACCAAGTAATATTGTACGCTGACATTTCATTTGTAGCATGTAACAAGGGGCTCCTTTTGCCTGCACCATACGAGTTTCTCTCGGTGTCTGCTTGCTGTTCCCATGGAGATGTATTTCAAAAACTGTCTGTTTCTCATTGCCAAATTATGGTGTTATACTGTGTGGGCCCCATCCTCTGTCTTCCTCTTGCTCAAAACTAACTCGGTGCACGAAGGCTTTCTCGTCTGTTCTCTGGCTCAGGTTCTATTTTGGATAAATGCTGTCTGTATCGCAAACAGTCTCCCTGGGAGAGAGACTGAACATGCTTGACTCTGCCATCAATGGAAATTGAAGAGCCTCGGGACCTTTGAGGAGTACTTGTGGTTTTTTGCATTGTCTACATCAGTTTTCTTTTTCCTCCCCATCCCACTCCCCTTGATTTCTCTTCAGATATTTATTAACAACGAATGGCATGAGTCTATAAGTGGAAAGAAGTTCCCCACCTACAACCCTTCAACGCTGGAGAAAATTTGTGACATTGAGGAAGGAGACAAGGTAAGTGGTGTTGGAAAGGCAGTGCAAAAGACAGTTTCCAAGGGACTTGCTTTTGTAGGGAAGCACACAGAGGAAAAGCTGGCTTTTAATGACAACGTCCATCTGGCCAGACTGGGAGCTGGAGGTCTGGGGCACTAGATATGCTGCTCAAGAATTACATGGGGTGGGTGGGATCAATCCTGTCCAACTCGGCAGAGTCACTTTGTCTGGTAGGAACTGCCTGCCAAACACTGTCAGAGGCATGAGATTCAGCATCGTTCTTGTGTTACAGACTGGAATGAAGCAGCCAGCCTGAGGAAGTAGCAATGATGGTGTGTGCACATCCCTGACAGAACTTGGGCCTCATGTTGGGAATGGTTTATGCACAAGCTGCGTGGCAGCCTGTTGGAGACGCTCAACTGAAACTTGCCCTTTTTTTAAACACAATCAACAAATAACTTGAGTGCTTGGGGGAATTTAAGCTTAGTCATGCAAACACTGCCCATGTTCTGCTAGAGATGTGGTGCTGCTTTTCCGACTGGTATTATAGGTTCTGGGCTCCTACAGAAATGTGGCAACTCTCAGTTAAAACCAAACCAGTATCTCTCAAGAACTCTAGTAGTCCCTGGCCCTGTTGTGCTATAGATTAGCCTGGGACATAATTGCTTGGGTTTGGTAACAGTCTGAGGTGAGGAACAATCAGATGTGACACTTGCTGTTCAAAACAGCTCATCACATGTGGGCCAACTTGCCTGATCTATGGGAAAGAGCTGGCTTTTTGCAGTATGTCATGGGAGGGTGATTCACAGCTGCTCTGCTGTACCAGGGTTTTGCTCATTGCTGTGGGCAGTAAGTGACAGGCAGCGTGGGCATTTCTGCCTGTACTGTGGGATCTTTTCTTGGTATCTAAGCTTGTCCAACACTTGTCAGGCCAATGCCTGGTTTCCAGCCAGGTCGTTGCCTTGGGGATCCTTTCCTAGGAGGACTGATACTAGTTGAGCAGGGGCAATGTGTTTTCTGGTATTATACTGTGTAGAGTATAGAGCCTGACCCTTCTGCAGACGGGCGCAAACTTGCTTGGCAATACGAGTCTCTTGCCTGCGTGCAAATAGCGTGTAAGGTAGCCGTTCTCTTTGGATGGCGCTAAAGCAGCCTCTGGGATTTACTGCCATGGGGGATCTATGCATCCGTAGGGCAATTTCAGATTGAGGCAGAACCAGGCATTACGTGTAATTTCTTTATTCTAACTGGGTAGGACACAACTGTGTTTAATTGCAGTGGCATGTAAACAGTGGAGTTGAAGCTAACTCTGATGCAACTGTATTTTGCTAGGCAGAAACCATGATGTTGTTACTGTTCCCTGAGCTAAGTGTCTTCTTAAGCAGTTGCAGAGTATTACATGAGTATTTCAAGCCTACTTCTTAATGACTTGGTTAAAGAAAATTGTTATGCAGAACTAAAAGGCCAGTTTTGCAGCTTGCCTCCTTGAGACTTGTCCCTGCCTGAATTCAAGGATAAGTTTTAGCTTCTGGCTTGCAGGAGAGTCACTGTAAACCTTTCCTTGGGGCCGGCCAGTGGAGCCCTCTGCCCGTGGATACTCAGCATAGGTGGCTGACTCCTTGGTGCATAGAATAATTGCAGGCAAGAATGTAAGTTAGCTGTACCTTGGGTGCTGAAAGCCTCTTCTTCCACCCCTTTACATCACACTTGCAAAAACCTTTTTTTTTTTTTTTTAAGGGACTGAGAGGGGTTAGACCTGGATCTGGATTAGTTGGAAAGCAGAGTCATGGGTGAGAAGCATCCCAAACTAGCCATTTGGGACATGGTCAAGTGTCACCAGTAGCCACTGTCCTCTGGCAAACTGAGTCCCCTGAGACTTTCTTTGCCCTCGTTGAACATCCCCTCCTAGGTGCATAACTCCAATCTGTTGGAGTCACCACAGAAAGTCATCAGTTGTGTTTGGTGGTGCTTTCCAGTGTCTTGTCCCCATGTGCCACCATACTTGGTTATGCTGGTCAATACCACTGCAGGGGTGGCAGTTCCTGGTACAGGCTCTGGCTTCAGCTGTGCTGTGTCAGGGCTGGCTCTGCCTTCACAGCAGGCTGGGAGCAGGACTCCAATTCCCCAGCCCTGAACAGAAACCTGCCCCTCCCTGGCTGTGCAGAGTGTGTTTTGCTTAGGCTGCACGTGAGGGGTGGGAATTTGGCAACTGATATCTCAGCGATGACAGTTTAGTCTGGTGCTGAAACTTGGCCAATGCTTTATGATGCTAGGAGCAAAGGTTTTGTTGTTTGTTCTTTAGTTACAGAATTTAAGACAGAATTGCCCTTGATGGGATAGTCGGGGGATAAATGAAAGTCTTCCATAGAAAAAGAAGCACTGAAAATAAAATGGCAAATGTTTCCACTGGATGCTTGGAGGCTTTTTGCCTCCTAAATAATGGCTTAGTGTCCAAGCGTTTGCCAGGTTGATAATGGAGAAGGAATAATTTTCTTCATCAGACTTCTGCCCCCAGTGAATAGTGCAGTCCCACCCTGTCTTGGTGTTACCATGTGAAGGCAAAAATGCTTGTGCCATTGTTATTTCTCTGGTGCTGTTGATAACACTGGAAGACAGGCTTTTTTCTTCTAGCAGCTTGCTAACATCCATCAAGGGCAGGGGAAAAGGTGCTCCTTCCTCAAAGGAGTGTTCAGCTCAGCTGGCTGCCAGAGCATGGGCAGCAGGTCCACAGCTGTGACTGCTGAGCAGACTCAATACTCATGATCATTTCTAAGCAGTTCACTCTCCCATGTGGATCTTTGAAGGGTGGTGGGAGGGTTTTGTTCAGAGTCATCCTCAGATTGCATTGGCAGGCTGAGATAAGAGGCTGCAGGAATATTATTCCCTACAGCAGACTTGCAATGCCTTCAATAATGGTTTTGGACACTTTGGGCTGCTAAGATATTGTTTGTAGCTGTTTTGAACTTGGACTCAAAAGTTAGAGCAATACAATGTGTAGACTGTTTGCAGGGGAGCGAGTCAGGGAACCTCTTCTCATTGAGAAACTGGCATGCTCATGCCCTATGTCAGGAAAAGTACCTTTCCAAAGATGTGCACGGTGGAGGCTTTTTGAAGAAGTTGTGCACACTGAGCCTGAAACAGAGCAAGGTTTTTTTACAGGTGTTTTTTCCCTACTCACAGAGCCAGTGGGGCGACGGTATCCACTGTGCTCTGAAGCCTGCTGCTGAGGCAGGAGAGAGGAAAAAGGGGCAGGATAGAAATGGAGCAGCAATGAGGAGGAAGGTGGAGGAGGTAGCTTAGAACAAAGAACGGTGTGAGTTTGTTCAGGGGAAAATGGTATGCGGTTGTGTAACTGGGGGTTGTATCATAATGCAAACATCCAAGGTGGGTATGAAGGTTTGCAGGCATTTCCCAATGCTGCAATGCTTGACTTTGCAATCTTAATATTCTCTTAGTGGAGCTTTTTATGTAACAGTAAATCTGTATAGATCAGAACTGAGCACCAGGATGCAGGAACCTCCTCCTCCTTGTGGTTTTGTATACCACAGTGTGTCCCTGGCACCTTGACAGTTACGAGTCTCTTTGTCACGCATTGTGCCTACCTATTGCAACATGCCTGCAATGAACATGCCATTCAGACTCTCCTAATGCCTAGTCATAACAGGATGGATTAAGAATGGCATTTCAGCCTTCCTGAAGAATTTCCTTGTTTTTGCTGTTCTCTCAGGCCTATTGAGGCTGTGCAGGCTCACAAGATCTCACTTGGTGGTGCTACCCCCAAGGGTGTTTTGGGAATGCCTTTTTGCTGGTGTGATAGTGACTGCAGTCTCCAAGCTGCTACATGTCGCCAGCCTGTCGGAGAAAAGAGACAAGAATGAAGACAACTAGCATTTGCAGGAGCTGCAGCAGGGCTCGGGTGCCCCCATGTTTAGAGGATGGAGAAGATCTGGTCATGCACTGAAGTACTCTGACCTTACAGGCATCTCATCCCTGTTCTGTGAGTGCCAGGGTGGTGGGAAGTCCCTCAGTACCAAGGGCATGCTGTGTTGTGGCCTGTGCCACTGTAGACCTGATGCTCTGCACATCAGTGCTCCCAGCCTGGTCACAGAAGCTAATTGATTGCTGCTAAGGGAAGACTTGTGTAAACCTGACACACTTCTCATGTTTATTTGTCTGCTTTGTCACATAAAATGTTGCTGCCCTTCAGCTTGAGTCTTCATTCCAGCAGGGAGGATGAGGAGCACATAAGCATGCAGCGGCTGGTGGTGCCTTCTGGCGTTTGTGATGTGCCAGTTTGAATCCAGATCAACTCAACTGAAGCGAACCATTCTGAAGGCCTGTCCTGCCTGTGGGTGATGGGCCCTGGGCAGGACATGCCTGCCTGCACACAGTGGCTGCTTGCCACCTCTGCCTTGCCCGCACCCGTGCTTGACCAGAGCCATTCTTCAGCCCCTGTAACAGCACAAGTTTCTTCCAATGGTTTCCCCATCAGTGCCCTTCCAAAAGGGTGTATTTCTTTTCTGGGCAGTATAGGTCAGTCTATTTTAAAGCTGTGCAATGGTTTTGTAAAGAAAAGGAGCTGAATTTAGTGTAAGGTGTTGTTTCCATGGGTGATGACTTGCTGTTTTGTCCATGAACTTTTGCTGTAAGAAAGCAAAATGTCTTCCCCATAACATTTTTCTTGGTTGAGCACCACACACTTCCCCATGAGGGGAGAATGGCCAGACCTTGTTGGATCAGTGGCTTACTTCGTAATTGTATCCAGACAAGACTTGAGATAAGATGTAAATGAGAGCAACTGGTGAAGTCCTATGAGAAATGATCAAGGCCTGAAACCCTCCCTCCTTTCCCACCCCCTGGAGCCACATGTTGTGGTGAAGTGCAAGTTCTCCATCAGCTGAAGTGAGGCACAGGCTGTGCCAGACATTATATTGGCAGGACTCTCCAAAGCCAGGGTGAAGTATGCTTTATGTGTGCTTGGGGTACAGTCTTGGCCTCATGGATGTTGATGGCAGTGTTCCCATTGATTTCATTGGGTCGGGAGGTTGCCCTTGGCTTTACTTTTTTAATCGATGTCTCTGGAGAAAAGGGAGGAGTCTAGGGTATACTGTTACCTGAGCAAATGCATGAAGCTTCTCTGGGCATGGCAGTGTGGGAAGAGAGGGAATTTGCTGCCCACCTGAGTAGTAACTTGAGTAAACAGAGTTAGATTTGGTCCAGAGTATAGTAAAGCCTTTGGGAGACAAAGGGAGAGTGGCACTAAGCCTGTGTAGGTGAAATGGCTTTGTCATAGCACTGAACGACAAACCTGTTCCCATCTGGCAGAAATGATCTGGAAGTGTGATCTAGGATTTAAGGGAGCTTTTTTTAGTGTGTTAAGTGTTACTGGCGTGGGTTCCAGTGGGATCTGAGCTGTGATTGTTCCCCAGGATAAGACACTGATCTCTCTCCTGGGGGACTTTCCTTCCCACACTTGTTTAGAAGAGGCTGACTTATGCAAGCCAATGGCCTGTCACACTTAGGGAAGCTGTAATGGGAACAGAATTGGGATCTTCTTTCTCCATCCTCCCCCAGTATCACTTACATCCTGTATCAGCAGCAACATGATTCTGGATGATTTTATAAACAAACCAGTTGCATAAAATTACCCTTGAAAGACCCTATTGGTACATCAACTTCAAGGTTGTTTATGAGCCCAGGCCAAACCCAAAGCGTATTGCAGGCTTGGGTTCAAATCCAGGAGTAAAATGGAAGTGGCTTTGTCGGACAACTTGGTTTTAGCTACCACAGCATCATCTAGGAAGCAGCCTGATGGGGTTTCTGCGCCATTGTCCAGGTCCTTCTTTGTAACCTAAGGTTTTCTTGTACTTGTGGGTGCTCTAGCCTGATGTGGATAATGCAGTGGAAGCAGCGAAGGCAGCATTCCAGAGGGGCTCTCCATGGAGACAGATGGATGCCCTAAGCAGAGGACGACTCCTGCACAAGCTGGCTGATCTTCTTGAGCGAGACAGAGTCATCCTGGCAGTAAGTACTGTGAGCGGTGCTAAACCACCAACAGTTGGCTGATAACTCCGCTCTATCCCTCTGATTTTGCTGCATCCATATCTACCTAATGTTTTTGTTTTCTCTCCCTTTTTGAAGAGGAGAAGAGCCCATGCAGGAGTCATGGCTTATTTTCCTCTTTCTGCGGGATGATTTTAGACGTCTTAGAAGAACTAAAAGCCTTACTCTATATAGTTGACTTCTCCAAAACTTTAGTGAGTTATTGAAGTGGTTACAGATATTAATACTTAAATTTTCAAAGCAATAAACATATTCTTTCTTAGTTGAAGTCATCAATGTTCATAATTGTCTTCCAGCTCTTATCTTAAAAAAAACAAACCAAAGCCCAACCAACAAACAAATCCAAACCAAGCAACAACAAAAAACCCAAACAAAACACCCCAAACTACCACAACTGACTTAATCCTTCTTTATTACAAAAATGCAAGGCCAGTTTGACTTCTGTGCAAATTGTTTCCCTTAAAATGGGGGGCTGGAAAAAGAATCTTTCTTTTGCTGGCTGTCATCCAAATTTTAAAATGTGTGTAAGTGGGAACTGTTTCTTTTCCTACTGAATGTACTGGCTCAGGAAAATCTCTTTATAGCCATGAAGCTGTGTTAACTTGGACTTCTGCACCAAGAACTATTGCTAATGATTCCCCATCCTGTCCTGAAGGAGTCCTTCTGGTGCAGAATGAGGGGAGTAGGACTTGAGCTAAAATGGGCTGCAGCTGGAAGAAGCCTTTGGACTCTATGGGGCTTGTACATCTTTCCAAATTGCGCCCACAGATCCGAGCATCTCTCAGCTCAGAGCTGAGATCTTGGACCTGAGCATTCACCAGTTCAGTGCTGCACTTTGGCTCTACTTATCTTCAGGGGAATGGCATTTATGTATGACATTCAGTGCTGTTGGATGTGTAAGTTTCTGAGCTAATGTCCCACTGAGGTCAGCAGGACTTAACATAGATGGGATGTGCTTAGGAGCCTGTACTTGCATGACTATTTTGAGCTAGGTCTCTTTCCACAACACGATGTCTCTTAACCACATGACAACTTCAGGACAAAACCAAAAAAATCCAGGTCTGAAGGCAGTTCTGGCCAGCGAATAAAAGGAAAAAAAAAAATGTGTCTGACTATATAACCTGTTTATTTTCTGCTCGCTTTTTGATGTGGCTTCAGAGAACCCTCCTTACCATAGCCAGGGCACTCATTTCAAGCTTTCTGCCGTCCTTCTGATCTGCGAAGGCTTGTTTGGCATTGTTATTTTTCACTGCAGCAAACCAGCCGTAGCTGCCTTGGCTGCATGCTAAGTAATGACTTATTTTTATAAGTTGTTGTAGCAGACATTCAGAGTGGATAACAATCCTAGTCATTGCAAGGGGAATGTCTGTTCGAGTGCTGTTTGGGCCCTAATGTCTGTGGAAGATGACAGGGTATGACTTCATATGTAAACAAAGATGTTTCAATCTACCAAGGGATAGTACTTCCTTTATGGATGTGCTGGCCATTTGCACCAATATCCCATTTAATGACCTGAGTTGAGAACAAAGCATTCACTGACCTAATGTCCAGAACAGTGAGGAGGACACAGGCTGAGACTGGACTTCATTTAGAGCTACTCAGCATCACTGCAGCTTTAGTGAAGCAACTTCTGCCTTGCCTTGGTCTCAGCACAGATCTGAGCCTGAAGGTTACTTTACCAGAACTCTAAAAAATGTGTTTTCTATCATTCTGTGGACAAAAGAGGCTTTTTCAGAGGTTGGGTTTAGGGCTATGAAGTAGAAAAAACAGATTTCCAAATAAAGGGAAAGTGGGTCTGACTGATTTCAGTGACACCATCTGGAATGCAGAACATCTGCGTCGGAGGGTCAGTTATGGTGAAGTCATGACACTCGCATCATTTCTGACCAGTGCCCCAGACCACAGCCCTGTATCCCACCCACAGCCACCTTCTGGGGGCTTCCAGAAGACATGCTTTCACTGCAGTCACTGAACAAAGCAACTTGTGCATACATCAGGGTTACTTGGTCTAGTCTCCCTTCTACCTTATTTGTATTAACAAGCTCATTCCTTAAATGTAAGGGGAGAGAAGGAAACACAATGTCTGCAGCATAAGGCAAAATAAAATTAAGAAAGAGTTTCTCTAGAAGTTTTTTTTAAGAAAAAAACATTGACTTGTCTGACAGTGCATGCAATTTGTTTTTTCAGACTCTGGAAACAATGGACACAGGAAAACCTTTTCTGCAGGCTTATTTCATTGACCTGGAAGGTTGTATAAAAACACTCCGATATTACGCTGGATGGGCTGATAAAATTCAGGGCAGAACTATCCCAGTGGGTAAGTTCCTCCAGACCCAGTTTCAGAGCTGGGATGGGGTCAGGCTTGAGGGGGTGGGAGGGAGGCCTGCTGGGAGGGTGATGCATGGAAAGACCGGTTTCTGAAAACCTGCAAAAATAGCCTGCATTTTCTTTCTATCTCAGGATGCGTTTTAAGTAGATATATTTCAAGATTTAAATTAATGGGAGAACAACATGACTGCCTGGACAGATCTCTGGAAAATAATGCATGGTCTTTTTTGTTGCTTTTTCAACAGAGAAACCTTTTTGATTTTAAATTCAGACTAATTCTTAAAGGAAAAACCCCACACATTATAGCAGAGTTTATTCATTAGGTATCACTGAAATGAATTAAGATACCGGAGAGTGTAAGGACAAAGGTTTCTAGGGAGAATTGTATAAAGGCAGCAGAGCTTGTGCTGTCCTAGATACCACAGGGATGTGGCAGAGGGTTGATGTGGAATCCACCAGTGTCTCCCACCTCACTGACATTTCTGCATCCCTGACAGTGCTGGCTCACAGATGTTTGGAGAGATTATGTAGTGCTTTTTCTTAACTTTTATTAAAGAGGAGGTCTGAGATGTTGACTCCTCTCAGGAACCAAAGCACTGAGCTCTTGGAGGGACGCTGTCAAGTTTTCTGACACTTGAAAGAGGTTGTTCGAAATGTTTCCTAGGTTGCAGAGCCAGAGCGGTCACGCCACACTGTTGTGGCAGGGACAGAGAGAACACTTTGGCTCAGCTAGATAAGTTCAAATATGGTTTTGGGGAGAACAAGTTAAGATAATGAATATCCATGTGGCACGATGAGCAATATGGTGTATTTTCAAAATCAGCCTGTTTTGTCCCTGTGTGCAGGTGATCGCTGAGGCTGTACGAAGGACAGGCACTGCAGACAAAAATGAGTCACCAGAGGAAGGGCTCTAAAGGGCTGAACTAGTTCAGGCTGTGCAGGCAGCAAAGGGAGCGATGTCAGTCATATAAACTGGGATCTGTCACCCTTATTCAGAGTAACACGAAGCTTTGCTGGCCTGGACACTGCTCGTTTGTCCTGATTTGAGATCACTTCCAAAACATGTAATTAGAAATATTTGTGTTTTCTTTCAGATCTTCCCAATGAAACTAGGTTATCAACAAGAATGAATTTGTAAGGGGAATGCCCTTCCTGCTTTCTCTTTGAAAGAGTAATAGCAGTATTTTAAGATGAATGGTATTACTTTATTCCCAGAGTTTAATCTTTTTGTGATTTCTTACCAGAAGTGCAATTCCTGTTACACTGGATATGATTTCGGTACAAAATGGATTTAAAAACTCTCCCCCTCAGGGAGACAAGTGCTTTGCTTCGTTCAGTGAGATACAATTGGAATGAAATTTGTGCTCGCTCTTTGGTGTGGTAGGGAGTTATCCTCCCCTTAGTCTCAACACAGGGAGTTTGCAGAAGGAATTGAACCCCTGGTTTTAAAATGCTCCACTGACCATGAGCGGTGTTCGGCTTTTGAGCTAACACAAGACCTATTCGCAAAGAGATGTTCATCCGCCTGAGGTGTCCCAGAGGCATGAGTTAAGATGAACAGATACAGCGTTCTTTGTCCAATATGGTTTTAGTTCTGTCCACAACCTGTTAGCATGCATTTTTTTGTAGAAGCAAGGATTTTGACTATTTTGTCGTCTTTTATTCTTTTGTCTTGCAGATGAAAATTTTGTCTGTTTCACCAGGCATGAACCGATGGGTGTCTGTGGAGCTATAACTCCAGTAAGTAGCAGGGATGGTGCCCTGCATCTCCCTTAGAACTGGAAGAAGTACATGTGCACTCCCCATCTTATACTGCAGCCATTTGCTTCCTAGTTAAGGACAGCTGTTCTGCAGGGAACTCCCATCTCAGTTGCCTGATGTAGTTTCTTGGTTTACCCCCATGCCAATTGCTCTTGGCAACACAAAGTCCTCTGCAATGGAAGGGTGGGTCTCCTGGTCAGATGCCCTGTTCGTCTCTAAGGCTGACACCAGTCACCAGAGACCAGTCAGAACTCTCTGACTCTTGCAGTGCTGGGGCAACCATCTTGTCATTGCGCATGCTAGCTTTTTGCTGCCTATGATGCATAGTTTTGAGTTTTAAATTATATCCATTATTAGTAACGCCTGGCTGTTCTCTGAGCTTTCTGTGATTAAATCTCACTGAGTAGAGTTTTCTTTTCCTTGAGGTCTCATTCTCTGCTGAGGGGACTAGTTCTTGGAATACCTCCAGTTTTAGCGTGTGTTGCTTGCTCTGTTTAAATAGACAGCCAGGATGACTTTACAGCTACATAGGAGACATAGTTTGTTCCTGTCTGGTTGTAAAATGCTTTGAATGTGGTATCCTACGGGTCATGAGGCAAATGGTGGTGTGGCAAGATTCCCTGTTTGGATACTTGGATCAATAAGTCCATGGAAGATTTTGACCTTTGGGGTGAGGTTATAGGAGAGACTGAAAGAAATGCATGTGGGGTATTGGATTTGCCGGATTCTGGGAATGCCAGGTCTGGACCAGTTCCCAAAGATATCTGGGGAAATTTTATTTTTTTCCTTCAACAGGACTGAGTTTGTATCCCCAGTGATAAGATGGTACGGTCTATTTAGCAGTGTCAGGGTGAGGCAAAGTGGGAGGTGGTCAGTACTAGTTATCAGATGTTTGGCTTGATGAGTTCTGCGCAGCTTTTCTGGCTGACTAAGCAATGTGACTGCTTGTGAGCAACTAGAATTTATGACTTAAGATCGAAACATCAGGTTCCTCACATTGATCACTGATTAAAAGATATCTCCCTGTCACACTCAGCCACCTTTGACACTCAGCAATGCTTTGGAAACTATCCTTTTAAAAGCCTACATGTAGGATGCTTTGGAAGGCCACTCTAAGGGAACGTAGTGGGACTTCTAATATTTCAGGTTGACCCTACATTAGCAATAAATACAATAGAAAGTACAGAACCAAATTTGACTCAAGTTCAACACTGTGTTTGTAAAAAGGATGATTGGGGTCAACAAAACCACACATGTCTTCAATTTATGTAGAACAAATCCCCTTCAATTTTTTTCCCAGTTTGATCTCCAACACCAACAGTCTGTGGGTTTGTATTTTCCTACTTGATTTAAAAAGATTCTGTCACTCTTCTGCATATGTCTCCCTAGACCAATTAACAGTCCTCCCTTTTTCCTGTGGCTTGACTATATTTAAACCAACGTTCTTAGCAAGGGAAGTTCTTAGAAAGTGCAGCATATGACTGAACTTTTTCCCAAGGTGATGTCATGAGGCAGCCCTGGAGTCCTTTACTGTCACTTTCACCAGCCATTCCGCAACAGAAAGCTCCTAATGGAGTTGTGTCATGCTCTGAAAGTGTAGAAAAGTAGTGTAGGTGTGGATGGCTCAAGCTGCAAAGTCAGGCCTTCAAGAAGGCTTAGGAGAAAAATGAACAGGCAAATCATAGGATGTGGTCATTGGAGAAGATCACTGAAACGAAACAGGTCTGGGAAAGAGGGAGAGGCGAACTGAAGAATAGCACATTAGACTAAATTCTGCTTTGTCTCAGGGCTGCTGGGTTAGAACAGAACTCATCTCTCAAAAGCTACACTGCTAATTTATTTGTAAGCGTGAATTTGTGGATTCCTAATGTATTTGGCTTCTTTGTTGATAGCTGAAGGCCCTTGGCTTGAGTCTTGACAAGAAGTCCCCTTACTGTTGGCCTGCTTCCATCATCCCTAAAGCAGCATTAATTATTTTTAATGAAGAAATCCTTTCTGCTGCCAAATGACCTTTCTTAGATTCAGTGTGAGCTAGATTTTCCACTTCTTGCTTAGGCTCCAAGATCTACAAATACACATGACCATGAAAGAGATTAACACAGAGGAAACTGATGTGGACTGGTTCCTAATTCCAAATAGGAAAACTAATTGGAAAGGAGCAATTTACAATTTGAAGGGAGTAGAAGACCTCCCCTGGATTTCCATGACTGAACAACCCACTGCAGTTTCCTAGTTATAAACCTGGAATTGAATGATAGTGTATAACTCCTAACTACTCAGCCAATACCTAACACAGAAAAAGGATTTTTTTTTCAGTGAGCAGTTGCATGCTGTAATTCCCCTACATAAGGACACTGTACAAAAGTGATGCAACAGGACACTGCCTCCAACACAATTTCTCTGAACAGCCAAAATCCTATACAAAGTGTGATCAAACTCCTGTAAAGAATGAGGTCACATCATGCAGAGGTTTGTCCAAATTACAGGATTAGCTTGAGGACCACCAACAATATTTGGGATCTCAGGGGAAAGTCAAGAAAGTTATACACCGTAGTCCAAGCAAACACAGTATTGTAAGGAGACGCTTCTCTTTGTGGCTGTCCTCCCAGTGGCTTCTTTCTCCCCAAGCTGTGTGAAGGTGGGGAAAATGCAGCGTGGAAGTGAATAGGTGACTGTGCTGGGCTGATCTGACCAGCCTTGTGTTCTTGCAGTGGAACTTCCCATTGCTAATGCTGGTTTGGAAGATGGCACCAGCGCTGTGCTGTGGAAACACTTTGGTTATTAAGCCAGCTGAACAAACTCCTCTCACGTCGCTGTACATTGGCTCACTGATCAAGGAGGTAAGGAAATCTGAACATCCCATCTAGGTACTGTTCTTTTAAGGTCATAAGCAGACTGTATTTTGAATTGGCCATGTAGGTTTTTAGGTTTTAAAGATGTTAAAGCCTCACAGAGGAAAGTGAGAACAACCTGTCTTCAGTCTTTTCTTAGAAAGGCTTTCATGACTGGCAGTGACTGGCTGGGAGGTAGCAAAGATCCCTAAACCCGTAGGTTTTTCTCCTTTCTCGGGAAGCCGCAGAGAGGAAAAATGGTGCTTTTATTCCTCTGCCTTGTCTTCCCCTTTCCCAAATGAAGGAAAGACTACAGCCCAGTTTTATTAGACAACGGGACAAAAAAAGAGTGTGATTAGACAGCAGTGCTGTGTTTGTGCCATTTTTAAGTGGGATAATTCAACCAAGACAGAGTGCCATGGGAAACAATTCATAATTTCTGCAGCTCATAGAACAATTTAGCTATGTCTGGCCTGTAAAGCCAACTTGATACTGACATAAAGGGAAGATCATAGGTTGGGATTTCAAAATGTTGGTTTAGGGCTTGTCAGGTAGGATCTCAGGTGCCTTGGATTTATTAATCATACAAAGGTGGTGGGAGGTGCACAGTACCTTCCAGCACTGCTCACAACGTCAGCTTCCTATATCTATGTATGTGACCAATTGTGAGGAAAACGAAAAGGGTTGTAGATACGCTTTTGCCTCTCAGCTGGAAAAGTCTGTTTGTTAGGCTCAGTCAAATGATAATGATGATTTTGTCTGTTCTTGGCTTAGCCTGGGAGAAAATAGAAGGATATGTTAACAATTGACACTTAGGCCTCCTCTGTCAGGAAAGGCAGTGCAAAAATACTACCAGTTAAGTATCTGCTACAGTTAATTGACTTAATAAGATTATACAGGATGAGTGAGCATAGGATGCAGTTGCCATGAGTTCTAGTATGCTGTATGTCAGAGTGAAAAAAACAGTGGTGTGACATACAGCTCCACAAACACAGGCATAACATTCTCCCCTCAAAAAAACCCATTCAGTTCTGGTGAAATTCATTTTTTGAGCTGAAACTTTATGCTGCCTGTTTCTCACAGTTGTCCTTCAAGGCAGAAGTGTAATTAGAGCAGAATAATTTTGTTTGAAGATGCTCCTTTCTCCACCCAAAATTAGCTAAATTCTTTGTGGTTTTTCAGAAGAATAAGTTAAACTTTTTTTTTTCCATCTTTGAAAGGATGCAGAAGATGTTAACACACAAACAAAACTATGTGTTAAGTTCAATGAAATAATTTTGGGCCAACCAAAATATTTTGGCTTTCATTTTTGCTGAAAAACAGAAAAATCTTTTTGGCTCAGAGTGACCTGAACCAATTTTTTGCTTCCTTGTGGCTTTGCTGCTGACTCCAAACACCGTTAATTGCACAGTTTGACATGCAGAATTTTCTGCAAAACTGATTAGCCAAGATGCAAACTCTGTTAAACTCACATTCATCGTTGTCACATCCACAGAAGAAATCGGAATGCCCTCCGAATTTATGGAAAAAAAAAATAGGAAAAAAAAAAAATCTCATGAAGATAATTTTTTGCAAGATAGTACATGAGCAATTACCTCCATTTTTCCTGTATTAGGAAGGAGCAGCTGCATTTATTGAGATTTTTATATTAAAAGGCCACAAGAGATAAAGTCAACATTTAATGTCCTGCAATTGCATTGTTAGAAATTGCAAGGAAAACAACCTTGGGGAGTCAGCAGTAGGGGAGGGCTAACCTAGAAGAGCGTAATCCTTGAACCTCTTGTTTCAGGAAGTAAAAACAGACCAGCAAGTCCTGCACTTCTCCTTGCACTAGAATTTCACCTGAAGTTTTGCCATTTGTCTCTTTTGGCAAAATTACTAGTTAGCTAATCTAGGTTGTAAATGTGGTGGAAACTGGCATAAGTCTGTTACCATCTGCTCTTGTATTCCTGTTTTATTAGCCCCATCATCTAGTGAGATTTTACTGACTTCTTAATCCCTCTGGCCCCTGAAGAACCACAAATGTCAACCTTTGTTCAAAACAAACTTTCATTCAGTTACCCCTTGGCTCCAGCTGCACAGCAGTAGCTGGGGGCCAAGTTTGGCCAAAAGACTCACTCTCTTTTGACTTGAAACTGGGACTGCTCCAAGAATTCTTACTGAAACTTGGCATTTCCTAAGCATGGCTGTTAGTTTCACCCACGTCTACTCCAGCTGGTAGCACGCAGCCATGTTACTGGAAAGCCTGGAAAACAATGATGTATCTGGTACGGGCTCCTTGTCTGCAGTTGAGAACTTGCAGTTCTTAATTGCAAGGAATATAGTGCAACTAATTCAAGCTTCCTGAGAGCTGAACTGCACTCTCAGGAATGCAGATCAGCTCCAGAGTGCTCATAATCTCTCTCTACAGAGCTGTATTTAACCTCTGTTTTAGGTGGGTTTCCCTCCAGGTGTGGTGAACATTGTGCCAGGCTACGGCCCCACAGCTGGAGCTGCTATTTCTACCCATCACAGCATTGATAAAATTGCTTTTACTGGATCAACAAAGGTAGGTGATGGATTTCTCATTAAACACCTGCTGTTCCCCTTTGCATTCTCTTCTAAAATTGTCATCCACGCAAGACTGGAGCAATGAAATGTCAGTGATTTCTGTATAGCCAACGCTATTTTCCATCACATTCCATGTGACAGGATTTCTCAGAAGTGTTGGGGATTTGTCTAATTCAGGTCCTTGTGCTTGTGATAATCCCACATCTCTGTTAGACGGGTTTTGCCAAACCGTCACATTTCTGTAAGAACTGTCAGTAATAGATGTTCTGACATAAGGTAAGACAGTCGACAGGGGAGGATGGCAGTGACTTAACATCATGTCATTGACCTGATGGAGCTTCTGGGCAAGTTTGCCTGCCAGTCCTGCCTTGCAAGCACGTGCGACTGGCAAACATGTCAGTCAGAGCCCTGAACAATTCTGCCTCGGCTTTAGTTACTTCTGAGGAACTAGGACTTAAATAAAAACATGGCCCTGTGCCCGAAACTTCCTCTGCTGACGTGGATGGGATTAACATTTGAGCTTCTTTTGAGACCTGCACAGTAAAGCACCTTCTATTCATTTTTTTTCCTGTAAATAGCTATGGCTGCCTTGCTTACAAGAGGGGTATAAGTGAGACCTCTGCACTATCAGATACCTACAGCCATCCTCTTCCGTACCTACATGGGGGAAAGGAGTGCATGGCTTGGCCTAGTCCATGGAATTGAGCACAGCTGTGACATGCAAACAAATTTGTCTCCAGTAATCACTGCTGAAAATTCTCAAACAAAAGCTTACTTAGAAACATGAACGTTTTTCCACTCACTGCTCTAGATTTTTCTTGCAATATATATATGCACCCCCTGAAGAGAGGCACTGTCCAAAGAATGGAAATGCTGACACCAATGGATGCGGTTGAGGCAAACGTAGTCTCTTCCCTTTCATTTCTTTGAGTAACATTATTCTTGTTGACCATTTCCCAAATTCGTCCATTCTTATGTCTATCCTCATAATTGCAGAGTGTAATCTAAATGTATAATGATGACAAATTACCTTGAATGGTATTCTTGGTCGGTAAAGGTAACTCTAAACACTCAAAAGCTGCTGCATTTAACAACAGTACCATCTAGTGGCTTTTGTACATGCTAACTGCTTCGCTTATCCCATAGGAGAAGGTGTGTTAAGCCTCTGTTTCTGTACAGGGATCGTGGGAACAAACACGAATGCAATAAGTAAAAGTTCACAATGAGCTTTTACTCTCTTGATAGTTGGTCTAATCTAGGAGTTTACCCAGTTACATGTTTCTCTCCAAATCCTAGATCAGAAACTTTTAGCCTAGATGAGATGCTGGCTGTGTGAAAAAAAATAAAGCTTATAGACTCATCCAGCCCACATGGATCTGTTTGGGTTTTTAATGAAAAAGGAGTATCCAGTGGATTAGGGGCAGAAAGAAAATCTCAGCTGCTGGAGCCTGTAGGCAAAAAACTGCTATAGAAGTTGTGCTTGTCTTCCTAATCCATGGGTGTGCAGGAAACACCGAGGGAGACAGATTCTTTGCTAATGCATGTGTAATTTAGAAGTGTTTTCTTCCCCCTCCACCCATCTGTGAGTTCAGCTGCATCTCTGCAGTATTTGCAGCATAATGCTACTGTTTCTGAGCCAGGAAGTGAAGCTAATTCAAAATAAATTTTGACTTAGTTTTTAAGCCCCAGCTTGGGCTCAGTGCCAGCCTGGAAATACTGATCTTAAACTCAACGAGAATTTTCCCATCTAGATTTCTTCCTTTCCCTTCGTTTATTAATTTACTCCTCTTCAGCCAGCTAGCTTGTAGTAATGCCTCTTGCAAAGCTATATGTATCTGCAGCATGATGCATCACTTATTTCTGCTGTCTCTAGGACTAGGCTGCGGAGTGACTAGAGGTGATCTGTACTGCTAGGTTCAGGAGTCTTGCTCAAGTTACAAAGGCAAACCATGAGAAATGCAGACCTATAACTGCCAGCCAGCTGCCCCATGCTTTCCTTGCTTACAGCTCCGCTCCAGGGCAACAGTATTTTTAGGCAGAAATGAAGTTAAGATTGCCACGTGCAAAGGTAAAATACAAGAAAACCAGTTACAAAATGAGGAAATTCAAATACAAGGTCATACTGAAAAAAAATAACCTGCCTTAACAATTGAAGCTCCCAAATAGTTTGAACTCATACTGTTTCTAACAAAATTAGATTACCAAATTATTCTGATGCTTGATTTATGCTCTTATGACGAATTCAATTTTTTAGAACGGAAAAAGAAATTGCTGTTTTGATGTTATCAGTATAAAAAAGAAATAGCACAGTTCATCAGAATTTGGGGAAAACATTTGATATGAAACGATTTTTCTGTGGGGGCAAAAAAACCTTAGTTTGACATGACTTTGATTTAAATTCTGGAAGCAGAGTAAGTCCTTCCCTTCAGGAGAGGGTGGCCAGATAAATTCCACCAGACGGTCAGAGCAGGTTCCTGGGCAGAAAGTGCCACAGCGGAGCTAGCCGACGTTTGTCTGTTGACACCCTCAGGTATTGCCTTGGAAGGAACATGTCTTAGCTACTCTTGTGTGTGGAGCAGCTCAGCCTAAACTGTCAGAAAGAAGTAGTTTTGTCCCAAATGTCAAAATCTCTATGTGGCTTTCTGGTATGGGAATGGTAATGGATAGGAACAGTGAGTTCTTATCATTGTCTTGGGAAGATCATAGAATCATAGAATGGTTTGGTTGGCAGGGACCTTAAAGATCACCTGGTTCCAACCCCTCTGCCATGGGCAGGGACACCTTCCACCAGACCAGGTTGCTCCAAGCCCCATCCAACCTGGCCTTGAACGCTTCCAGGGATGGGGCAGCCACAGCTTCTCTGGGCAACCTGTTCTCTCACAGTGAAGAACTTCGTAATATCTAATCTAAGTCTTCCCTAATCTAAGTTGTTGAATTCCCAGTTTTTAAAAGTAACACTCGTAAACCTTGGAGCCCCACTGATTGCCAGTGTTGCTCACTAGCTTGCACTGGGTGGGAAATGCCTTGTTCTGCAGCTCTGGGTAGCAGGTAACTTCAGGGCACAGTTGCTGTAGCTCTCCCATGTAGCCTGCCCTTTCAGATCTGCCTAACCTAAACATTAATTCTAGGGCTGATTTTGACCCATCACATTACAGCAGTAGGAAACTCAAACCATTTGAGTGCTATCCCTGACTTCCCCCTGCTTCAGCCACCTGCCAGGATCTTCTGCCCTTGTTAGCGTCGCACTTGACACACTGAGTTGAGACTTTGAGGGGAAACAGCTCATGTTCTCTTTGTGTCTCAATGCTACAGGTTGGAAAACTGATCAAGGAAGCTGCTTCTAAAAGCAACCTCAAAAGGGTGACATTAGAGCTTGGAGGGAAAAACCCCTGCATTGTGTGTGCAGATGCAGACTGTGAGTATTGGCTGCTGTGTTTATTTGCTGTAAGAGACTATGAGCGTGGTGCTTTTTGTGTGTCTCTGCTGTCCTTTGGCAGCTAGCAGGGCTGGTGTTTGCCACTGTATCCACCCCAAAGGCTGGAGGAAACCTCTATCCAAGAGCAGAATGCAGTTCTGTTCCACTGGAGCTCTTGCCCAGCACAGGGACCATTCCCATGGCAGATAAGCAGACTGTTATACTGTTGCCTTCCCTTGGGATGGCTGTAGTTGCAGATAAATCTTGCATTTGTGCATTTCTGCCGTTGTGGTGCTTTCTTTTTGGTCGGTAGTGCTGCAGAGCCTAAGCCAAGCAGTGGGGAAAGCAGTTTTCTAAAATGCAACCCCTCTGCAGGCATCCCTATGACAGGAGAATTTCGTAGGACCTGATCTAATCCAACCTTCACCTCTGTCCTGGGGGTCTGCAGGACTCATTTCACATATTCCGTTGTGACTTTGTTGCATTACTGAGTAGCACTAGGAGATATGTGTAACCTGTGACCAGCAAAGTGGTTAGAAAATCTTGTTTGGCTTGGGGAAAACACTCTCCACTTGCCTGCATGGCACAGCAGCGGTTGAAGGCCAGAGGTACTTGTGCCATCTGCTAATAGTGATCATTGCAAGCACCTGGTCCAAGCTGGCTGTACAGCAGAAGTGCACACTGCTTTCTAAACAATCCCTACTGAAACTAGTCTTCAGGAACCAAGGCATGGTGTCTAGGAATCCACATTTGAATTCTCGCAGCACTGGTTATTGCCCTCAGCAAGTCCTTGTGGAAGAAAGTATTGGGAGCTATGGCAAACTAGACCTTGAGACAAAGGCAGGAAGGGGAGTGGAAATAATAAGAGATCTGGTTTGGGGGCAGTATGAGGCCTTGTGAGTGCCTTCAATGGGTGTGGACCATTGTCAGCATTTTTTAAGGAGGCTTTCAAAAGAGAAAGGAAAAAACAAGTCTGGAAACACTGGAAGGTTGAAACTGTATGTGTGGTAACACTTTTCCCTCCTGGGCCATGTTGCAGTGGACTTGGCAGTGGAATGTGCCCATCAAGGCGTGTTCTTCAATCAAGGGCAGTGCTGCACCGCTGCCTCGCGAGTGTTTGTGGAGGAGCAGATATATCCGGAGTTTGTCAGGCGCAGCGTGGAGTATGCCAAGAAGAGACTCGTTGGAGACCCCTTTGATGCCAGAACTGAACAAGGGCCTCAGGTAACTGTGTGCCTGAGAACAGTTGTTGTTTGGTTTTTGGTTGTGTTTTTGTTTAACTTTCCTTGTATAAATATTATCCTTCCAAATGTGGTCCCAGCAGAAGTGCTGAGGGGTGAGTAATGTATCATGGCTTTATTTTTCTCTCTATTTTAAATATCAATTAATCACAATTGTTGAAATGTTATGTTGTAATGTTGTAATTTTTTTTAAACACAAATGTATTTAATTCACTTCATATACAGCTTTATGGAAGGGGCTGTCTCCCTGGTACAGTAATACAAAGCATGTTGCAGCGAGCAATAGCAATGCACACAAGAGTGCAGCTGCAGAAAAGGCCATTCAACTACTTGGCTGTGTTGGTGATGACAAGTAGTTAGAGCCCAGGGACTCCTGAGTCCCCACTTTCTCTCACTTCCTCGGCTCCCTTTCTGACACTTTGGAGAAGTTTCAGCTGAATTAGGAGGAAGAATCATGCCAAGCTGCTGTCACAACCAGCCTCGTCAATGCTTCCAGAGCCTTCCTCTTATTTTTTCCTTCTGAAGCAATTCGATCTGTGGTGGAGAGCTCTGGAAGAAGATGGTCCTTAGATCAGATCTTCTAACAGGGCCGCTGTTTGCTACCAAAAATAAAGGGGGAATCCAAGAAATCTGTAGCCTAGGCCTCCTGTTCTCAGGATTGCACTGTGAGTTTTTCTTCCTTGATGCTATATAGGATACTTCAGAGAAGGGATGGCTGTGAGGACGTCTGCCTCCCCATATCTGGATCTAGGCCCATTTACACATGATTCTTGCATGGCAAAACCTCACTGCATGTCCTCATGCATGGGGAATAAGATGATGTACATCCCCTGTTCATGCTGGGGCTACATCTATCCCTGTAACTTGCCTGGAAAGAGATTTCAGACTGCTCAGCAGTCTTAGGAAAATAATCCCATGCTGGAACTTGCTTCAGCAGAGATGAGCTGACCCTCAAACCATTTCAAGGTCTGCTCTTACCTTCTATTAAGGACTGTCAGCTTCTCAGGTTTGTTTGTTGTTTGGGTTTTTTGTTTGTTTGTTTGTTTTAAATATGACATCATCCTAAACCTTATCCAGCAGTAACAGTAAGTGAGCTGCATTTATAGTTAGTCCCATTGGGACTATGTTCACCTGGCTGCTCTGACAGAGACCATGGATTTCTTGAGAACAGCCCCTGAAATCATAGGGAGTAGTTACGAGGTTTTAAAGGGTGAAACACTCTGCAGAGAGCAGAACATGTAGAACTAGGCTGCTTATTTCAGTTCTTCTATGCTCCCAGCTCTTGCCAGGCTGCCAGAGCACTTCCCAGTGAGCACTATGGCAGAGCACCATCCTCTGGTATCACTGCTGTGGCTTAAGGGAGACTCTTTGCATACAGAGCTATAACTAAGGGTAACAGTAAGTTGGAATAGCAGCATCTGGAAGGCATAAGTTGGAAGAGCAGCAGATTTTAAATATGGGT